CGTCAGCAGCATGAACGCCAACAAGGTCATCGTAACCAAGAATACCGGTACAGCAATGGGGATCGGCAAGGCGGGCAGGACCGCCACAGCTATAACGGCAACAACAGCAACGCCCCAGGTGGACCGCACCACCAACGCATTAATCATGCACCACAAGCCAACTACGGACAAACGTCCGCGACTCCATCTGCTACAACCATGGTGGAGTACTACAGCCCATCCGGACAACATGCTCCCGGGTCGACTACTGCTTCATCAGCTCCGGCGCCTCCAGCGGGCATTGGCTTCTCCTTCATCGCCGACAGCACCGCCCCGGCGCAAACCTTCACCATGACCGTCGACACCGGCGCCTCCAACCACTTCCTTGACAACGAGCTGATTCCGGCACTGGAACAACGTATGGTCGAGTACACCAAGATCGACCCCCCGCTCCTCATCCACGTCGCCGGACAAGGGCAGCTTCACGGCACCGCCAAAGGAGCTCTCAAGGTCACCGTAACCGACCAAAATGGCAATCCGCGCTCCATCCGCCTCCCGTTCATCTGCGTTCCGAAGCTGGGGCGTCACCTGTTTTCGGGGGGAACAGCGAGGAAGCAGGGAGTGTCAACATTTATTGGATCGACGTCGTTCCTCGATACGGGCGTTTTCAAAATCCCTCTTCGACCGGACGACGCCTGCGATACGCTTTTTCACTTCGATTTAGCTATTGCGCCGGACAGTGTCGCAACGCACCATGCGTTCTCGACCATCTCGGGTTTAGATCTACCGACGGAAAGCGCCAACACCGTGTATACATCGGCCTCGGCATCTTCAGCATCATCTACCACTACAGGAGCAGTAGCCGGAGCACGACCGGCATCATCAACCGGGACCACCTATGCAGCGGCTTCATCAGCAACGGCCTCAGCCAACACTTGGCACCAACGGCTCGGACACCCCAACGTTCAGGTACTTGAACAACTAGCACGCATCGACGGCAGTGGGGTACATCTACGCGATTCTTTTTCGGCGTGCGGCACCTGCAAAATAAACAAAAGCTCACAGCAGAACCACCCGAAGATCGCAAACATGGACGGCATCACCGAGCGTCTTCAGCTCGTCAGCACCGACCTACTCGGCCCCATTTCGCCAAGCGCGATTGGAGGCTACAACTACATGGCGAAATTTACCGACCATGCCACCAGGCTTAAAGCGGTCTACTTCATCGCCAAGAAAGGCGACGCTCTATCTTCTCTCGTCAACTACGTCCAAGACGTTGCCATCCCGCTCGGACTACGGGTGCAGTATCTACATTCAGACAACGGGGGAGAGTACGTCAACAGCGACTTCCGCGACTACTGCAGGACAACCGGCATAATTCAGCGATTCAGCTCGCCGCACACGCCGCAACAGAACGGCATTTCCGAACGAGACGGGCGCACCATCATGAATATGGCCCGCTGCATCATCAACGAGACAAATCTTCCCAAGCATTTGTGGGGGGAGATTGCGGCAACTTCGGTGTTCCTGATCAACCGTCTACCGCACAAGGCCCTCAAGGGCGACACGCCATACTTTCGCATGTTCGGCAAGCAGGCGAACCTTTCCTTTCTGCGCATCATCGGCTCGCGCGCCTTCGTTCACATAGAAGGTCACACTACGAAGCTGCAGGCAAAAGCGTGGGAAGGAGTCTTGGTGGGCTACAACGACGACAGCCCTACATTCCGCATATACAACAGGACAACGGGGCGCATCACAAGCACAAGAAACGTCACCTTCATTGAGAAGCCGCCTGCCGTTCTGCCCATCGTCGAAGACGTATCAGGAGAGCTGGCGATCGACCAGGAACCTGGTTCAACGGACATGGACATCATCAACGACGGCATCACTCTTTTGGAACACGAACCAGAAAACAACAGCCGTACCAACATTCAGCGACAGCAAGGTGCCAAGATCAGCTCTCGCCTGCGTTCATCTGGTCAAGTGCCTCTTCCAGAGCAGGACAGCAGCAACGCAAGGCAAGCCAGGGCCCTTCGGCAACTGAATTTGGTGAACGAAGATACTTCCCAGCAAATGCTGGACTCCTACACCGAGTACATCGGCGCGGTCGGCCTCGACAATGTTCTTCCGCCGGCGGCAGTGGAAGTTCCCAACACATACAAGCAGGCCATGAACTCACCGCAATCAACGGAGTGGGAGCAGGCCATGCTCAAGGAGCTAGCCAGCTTGGACGACCACGACGTCGCCGACCTCATCCCCGTTTCCTCCGTTCCGGCCGGCTGCTCCGTCATCGGCACGCGCTGGGTCTACCGAGTGAAGACGGACGGACGTTTCAAGGCACGAGTTGTTGTTCAGGGATGGGCTCAACAGCATGGGATCGACTGCTTCACGACTTTTGCACCTGTATGCAAAATCGGCAGCCAACGACTTCTTCTGGCAATCGCTGCCGCCCAAGGGTGGCCTGTCATTGCTATGGACGTGCAGACGGCATTTCTCAACGGGAAACTGTCGGAAGACGTGTATACCTATCAGGCACCAGGGTTCGAGAAAATTGAAAGCAGCACCGGCAAACCGCTCGTCTGGAAGCTGAAGAAAAGTCTTTATGGCCTACGTCAGTCTCCAAGCGTGTGGAACCTCACGATCGACAAGGATCTCCGTGGCAAAGGCTTCACGCCTACCGCTTCGGACCCGTGCGTCTACACCAAAGGGAGCGGCAACAGCTACATTATGCTCACTCTCTTCGTGGACGACATTCTGCTCACTGTAGCAACCAGAGAGTGTTATCAAGGCCAAGTGGGTATTTAATTGGAAGTCTGATGAGTATGGATANCTCCGTGGCAAAGGCTTCACGCCTACCGCTTCGGACCCGTGCGTCTACACCAAAGGGAGCGGCAACAGCTACATTATGCTCACTCTCTTCGTGGACGACATTCTGCTCACTGTAGCAACCAGAGAGTGTTATCAAGGCCAAGTGGGTATTTAATTGGAAGTCTGATGAGTATGGATAGCCGACTAGTGTGAAATCACGGCTAGTAGCGAGAGGAGATATGCAGCGAGTACATGTAGATTGTGGAGGGACGTATGCACCGACTGTAGCGGTTTCTAGCAATCACTTGTTGGCAGCGATGGCGTGGGAGCAAAATCTTTCTCTTCGTCATTTGGACATCAAGCAAGCATTTGTCCAGTCGGATTTGGATGAGGATGTTTTCATGCGTCTGCCAGAGGGGTGTGGTAGATTGTCAGGTATGATTAACAAGAGTCTGTATGGCCTTAAGCAGGCATCAAGGCAATGGCATTCACACTTGGCGAGGGGTTTGATTTGTTTGGGTTTTATTCAGTGTCTGGCGGATACGTGTGTGTTTTGGTTGATCGAGGAGGGAAGAGTGGTAGTGAGTCTGGCAGTACATGTGGATGATATTTTTTCGATTGGAGAGGAGGAGAGATGTGACCAATTAAAAGACGTCAGTGCTAGCGGGTAAAAATCAAGGTCCCTGGAAGGGGGCCAAAATGTGTGTGTGTGTGTGTTTTTATTATTAGCATCGACCGCGCTAACCGGCTGACCAATGAAAAGACGTCAGTCTTAGTGCGGTTGAAAACACAAAACACTTCTATCTACCATGAACTGGGACCCCGTGAGGGGGCAGCATGGGGGAGGCTAAACTATCCTTCGGATTAAAAACAGAAACAGCAGCAACAGACGAAAAATGCACGCGTCTACCAAGGCTATTACCTAGTACTCGAGTTCGTTTAGGAGTACTTTCACCANTTGCAAATTCTGGAAGCTTTTAGCAGCAGCGCATCGACCTTTCAAGATCTCGCGCTACCGGGGGAGACAACATCTTCCAGAAGACGCTTCATCCCGCGACTTTTCCTCCGACAGGATGTTGGGAAAGCGTGATGTGCAACCCGCGCACACTCCCACACAACATACATCAACCAACCTTCAGCAGCGGACCTTCAGCGGATCTCAGCCTTCTTCACCTTCTACTTCATGACCATCATGGACTCATACTGCACAAGCCAGCGGCACCACCGCAGCAGACCATCAGCAGTCACCAGCAGCCCTGCGCAAACGACCTCATGTTCGTCCTGGACTCCAAGGTCTTCAACTTTCCTTTAAGAGGATGGGCTCGCGACGTAGATTCAGAGTTTGATTTCGGACTGTCAAGCAGAGTATACGATGTGGTATCATAGCTAAACTAGGCTTTCAACGAACGTTCCAAACAGGCAGACCTACGGGCGAGACCTTATAGGCACTATAGCTGATTGGTGATTTTTCCTTGTTTTGCATTCTAAGCACTATGTTCTAAACACTGCTTCACAGTAGTAGTAGTTTTATCTCTGGTAATTGAGTTTGCTTGCAAGTAATACAAACACGGCCTCTGCAGCAGTTTAGCCAAACCAAGCACTGCTTCTACGGCAGTAGACTATAGCCAACGTAAACATGCACCAAGCTGCATTAATTATTAAGTATTGGTATGAACATGTATTGTTCTTCTCTTCGTATCTCCTCTGAGTGTTTATTGCTTGGTAAATACGTACAGCAGAATCTCTCGCTGTTTCAGAATTGATTAGCCTACACAGCAGTATAGCTGCATCATTCTTGAATTGAATTTAGTGCTGATCATTTCTTTGATTATCTTTCCTAAATTCGTACATGTAAGCGTACATATGTTCTTTGAATGGACTTTCCATTGCGGGGGAGTGTTGGTATATTCAATGTCAGTCATTGATTTTTGTATTGCTGTAAGCACAGCACGTAGGTAATCACCGTAAGAGAATTCGGTAGATTATACACAGCTATGGAGAATTCTGTAGATTATGCACTTAATCATATCATTTCTAGATCCGTTCTAGAGGTCGGACTAGCCGCCTATTTCTAGAAAGCGGGATGTTGAAATGACCCGTGTGTGTGCATCTTTCTGTGATAGCTTGGAGGCTCGCCCCCTGTGGTGCTCGCCCCCTCTCGATCACTCTTCTTCTTTTCCTTACCTTTCGGCCAACTAAGAGCCACTTCAAACCATCAATCTGGTCTTTACACAAGTGTACTTAACAGTCACACGTGAGCCTCTGCACACTGTTTCTACACAGTGCTTGCCACATCCAGGGATACACCCATCACGAGGTTACATCCCAACATACTGAACGAAGTTCCTTCATTGTTTTCGGTGTTGGCAAGTCGATAAAAGCTTTAATACGGTCTTCTCCAATGCGAATCCCCTTAGCCAACAGAATGTGACCCGAGTATTTGACTTCCTTTGGTCCAAACTGTACCTTCGAGGGTTTCATGGCAAGACCGGCCGCTTGGAGTGCTTGGAGCATACTTTCTAACAAATTTAGATGACACTCCCAATTCGAGCTGCAGCGGATGATGTCGTCCATATACAAAAGTACACTGCGTGTTCCAAAGTGAGCAGATGCCAGAGACATCATACGAGCAAATAGAAAAGAAGCATTCGCAATTCCGAAGGGAAGGCGTTTGAATACCCATTCCCTTTGTGTGTCACAAACGCTGTCTTCTCTGGTTCTGCTTCGCCCACTTTGTTTTGGTGGAAAGCTGACTGAATACCGCAGACAGCAATAAACTTTGCACCTCCAACGGTATCAATGACGGATTCGATATCTGGCATCGGTCAGGATTTTGGAATTAGATTCGCGTTGATTGTAAAACAATAGCACGATTCGAGGCGCGACGCCTTTTGGCCCCGCCTCCTAGAGATAGTAGCCATCACGATCCCGGCATGGAGTCTCGCTGATGGAGAACGGGAAACCTTGCAGGATAGGGTTGTAGCAGCTCGTGAGAGATTGCGCGCGCGTGATCGAGCAGGTGAAACGCGACGTTCCGTCCCCGACACACGGCCCCAACTCACCGGCGCGAACGGAGGCGGTAGCACCGGATCGTGTTCGTACTGTGGAGGCCACTTTGGGCCACCACCACAGGCCGAGGGACTCGAGCCTATCCAGATCCCGTGTGGACACCACGGGTCGGTGCACGCCAACTGCCTGTGGGACAGAGCCGACCAGATAGCACACGGACGCGTGGATCCACGACCATGTGCCAACTGCTCGCAGGAAGGATCGAACGGACGACGACCTCCTCATCCCGCGGAACTTGTCCAGAACCACGAACTGCCGCACGCCGGGGGACGGTGGGACTTCCTGAGGGAGGCAGTGTCTTTCGCATCCGAGATAGAGGGACATTTCGAGACATGGTCTATGTCCGAATCCGGCGCGGACGCGGCGGGGCATTTCGACTCCTTCGAGAGTGTGGTGCGGGCGCACGGGAGAAGTGAGACGGCTTCCTGGCTCGTGGTCACTCTGTTCGGCGACGTATTCGGGATGGACAGAAGCGTGTACATATACTTCCCTCGGGGCCGCAACGAGGACAACGGGTGGGACCGGTTGGTCCAGAGATACCGCTCTACATTTTACGCCCATGGAATACGGCCGTATCAGGTTGTGCTTGCCACATCCAGGGATACACCCATCACGAGGTTACATCCCAACAGTTATACAACCAAAAAATAACAAAATTACAAGTGGTGACCCCGAGGAACTCAATGTGTGGACGGCATAGCAACAAACACATAGCGATCCCTTCGAACCCTGGAAAGCGCAAGAGAGGAAAGAGGAAAGAGAAAGAGGTGGAGGATTGCCCCAAAACTTCGACAGAAAACGGGGACTCCGCACTATCATCGAAAGCCTCTCGTCACAACACCCTCCAGGTACACCCCAACTGCGTCGAACGTAACGGCTACCCTCGACCATCTACTTCCGCGAGCGAACAGGTATTTGGGTGTTTTATCTTCGCTTGAAAGTTTTGTCACCGGTATGCTATTCTGGAAAGGGGTGTGGTGTCTTCGGTACCGGTTATATCTTGTGTCGTCGGCGGTTCGTAGTTGCCGAACAGACCCAACCCTCAAACCGCGGGTCTCCATGCTACTTGCACACAATTGCAAGGAGGTTTGGGGCCGGGGTGGCGAGTACTACCAACAATAAATACACGTTTCGGATTGCCGACTTTTGGGTTACTTCGGCATCCTGGATACCGTATATAAACCACACCCCAGTGATGTATTTTGGCGTTTCAGACAAGGAGGCGAATTACCACCTGGGTTACACAAGCCAACACACCCCCTGCTTCGATGGCAGTAGTGCAGGCGCGACAAAATCACCTCGTTACTTCTCCCGAGCAGACTTCTTCTACACCTACGGCTCCTCCTGGTCCTCAAATCGAAAGCAGCACCAGCTGGCACAGCACCAGGCGCCAATACGGTAGCCACCGCCGTAAAATTTCAAATTTCAAATGTGCGGCAGCAGTAGTGGCAATTCGTTGCACCTTGTTGATGACACCCCTAGTGTGTCTCCTGCTAGCTGCACTTTGTCACCCGGGTTACATAAGACGACATCCCCCCGCCAAAGGATTCCACACCCGGTGATTTTGAACCCCAAATTGTCATCACCGGCGTGTGGTTTCTTGAAGTTTACGGTATCTCAGTCCCACCATCTGATCTCAGCACCAAGACTAAATTTTCGACGCCTTCCTCGGAACCTTGGCGCCCTCTATCCATCCGGGGACGTTTTTTTTTCTTGTAGTGCCTTGTCGTCTTGGGTTTGAAATCACGTACTAGGGCCGCCGTTAAGTGCCCACAGAACACTTGAAATTTCCAGAAATCCCCCAAACTACGTAATAAGTTGGTTTTACTCTCACTGGAGGCCAGTGCTCCGCCCTTGAGTGCCAATCGCCGTCAGACTTGAACATGTTGTTTGTAAACTTGATCGACTTCATAAGTCGCGAGGGAAGGGATTGCTGTACCCTTCTCGCGATAAAAATATCTCAGGCAGGAACCGCAGGAGGGGGTCCAATTCCCCCCTCCTATGTGACCCAGGTTGGGTCTTCTAGCTGGTAGAAGTGGAGGATAGGGGCCAGAGGGGCAGACGACAGAGTCCAATGATGGGAGACACTAAAAACAAAAGAAGTGGCCCATCTCCCGAGCACGTCCGTGCCAGTCATGTCCGGATGTATGTTGCGCGGGCTTGGTGATCTTGGCAGTGGCGTGTTTGGACCTTGATCGGCTATTTGGTTTCTACCTGGACCTAGCCCTCGTGTCGCCACCGAACTATCGCCACTTCGACAAGACCAGAGCAACGACCACCCGCTCCAAATGGTATGATGGCGATTTGGTGACCCGAAAGGGACCGAGCACTTGCCAAATAAAGTACCATCACAGCTTCTGCTCGAAAGCCGGAAACTCTCAGTAATATTGTAAATCCATCTGTAGTCCAGGCCGCGCCGAAAACGTTGAGATCACAGCATATCTGGCTCATCGGATGGAATTGGGCATACATCGGGTATGCCATAGATTGGATCTGCCATTGTATATTGTATCACATCGGGGTGGAGGTCTACACGCATGATGTGCCTCCCTTTTCTCCTATCGAACATGATCCTCTTCTCTTTGCTTGGTACATAGCATTTGTGTGTGTTGCTTCTCTCTCTCTCTCTCTCTCTCTCTCTCTCTCNCTCTCTCTCTCTCTCTCTCTCTCTCTCTCTCTCTCTCTCTCTCTCCTTGACCAAGTTTTGTAACTCTCGACACGCAGTCTCGCAATTGCTTGCCGCCGTACGCTCCAGGTTGCCACTGCTATCTGGAATACCGTTCTTTGTGGAATTTTCCGCGGGGCGTATGTTGGTTAGCATACCTGTCCATCTCCTTCTCGTGATTTCCTTTTGTGCTTACTTACGCTGTTCGAAGCGCTTGGAGTAGCCATCAAAGCACTCATCTAGAGCCCTCTGAAAATCACACGGCCGTGACACCACTGAGTTTGCTTTCTACACAAATGCCCACCCGGGCTGGCACATCTGTCTTCTCTCCCCTGCGTATTTTGCGTTATCGATTCCCGTTTCGAAAGTGCACCGGCCAAACCCTTGTGGCGTGGCACTTTGATCTTCTTCGTCCCCACCAAACCCCTATTGTTTTGCATCTTGTCCCTCTTCAACAGTTGTCCACAGCTAAGGGCTCACATGTGTTTTCAATCTGCTTCGCCGCCGTTGTTGTTTGCGTAGGATCCCTGCAATGCCATGGAGATCCTCCCTCTTGCTTCGGCATTGTTCTTAGCTGGATCAGCCATGAGGAAGGCGTACCTTAGTTCGAAACGTCGAGGTTATGGGTCAAAAAACACAGGCGACACAAACGTCGAAGTAAAAATAGACCTCTGTGATGGATGTGAGAGCACGGAAGGAGCGATCATTGCGGTTGGGGCGGAACTTGCGATGAAGGCGCACAGTGGCTGGATCCAGGCAAGGATGCGACGGAACCGGGCCATCCCCGGACTGTCAAAAGAGTTCGCCGAGCATCGAAGTCAGGTGCGGAAGGCTGGGTATGGATGGTTGAAGCTTTGTCCCTTCCTACATTTATTTCGTGCCCAATCCACGTCCAAGTCAACGTGAACAGTAGTGCTGTACAATTGGTGCCACTTAGAAGAAAAAGCATTCAGATATCCGTACCTGCCTACTGCTGAGTTTGCCCCATTGATCAGTTTCTTGAGTACAGTATTGCTTCATGCTTTGTTTCTTGAGTATTTTACACGTTGGTGTGGATCGAGCGGGGTCGCTCCACCGGGGCCTGCTTGGCCTGAAGCCCAGCTGCGATACTGGCCTCTTTCAGCAAGCATATAGTGGTCTCGCTATCCACGCATGTCCGCATCCGCTCTTCAGGTACGGCGTGACCTGGCGGGAAATACCACCGGCCAACAGTCTGCCAGCCAGGCCATAGCGGAAGAACTTGTGGGCATTCACGCCGCCGACTTGCAGACAGACAAGGTGAACCGGGGAATGATGTTTTCCCGATCTTTTGATGGCGGAAGGGAAGTTGGCTTGAGTGTGATGGTATGCCCGCAAGTGTGATGCACAGGTTTGGAGTTGCCGCGGCTTCGAAGCTGGGTCTCTCGAGATTTCCAGCCCGAAATTTGCTGGGGGGGGCAGGCATAACGTCGGAGGGTTGAGACCCCAGGGAAGCCATCATGTCGATGAACACGCACGAGGCAGTCGCTCACAGAAGGCTAGCATCAGAAGTAGCTCTGCTAGTACGGTGTCTGAGACTGCGGTGATACACACAACCGGCTCTGTGGAGTCAATATGCAGAGTGGGTATGGTTCGATTATTGTTGTTTAAAGGGCAGGTAGCACCTCGGTCCTTGGTGCACATGCTCTGATATCTCATAAACAAAAAGCCCGATGCTTTGAACTAACCGCGATAGAATCCTGTCGACGGGCTTAGTGTGCTGTTTCCTGCTGGCTAACGTTGAACTAGAGAGTGGAAAACACGCCCCCCCACCTTTTTTTCATTTTTTTTTTGCCTCCCCCCCCGGTGTTTGCCATCGGGGTTTGGATTTTTGTCGCTTGGCAACGACGTTGTAAAACAAGCCGCCCCCCTCGGTGTTTGCCATTGGGGTTGGGTTTTCGTCGCTTGGCAGCGATGTATAACAAGCCCGACCACTTCGTGAGCTCGGCAACCAGGTTACCGTTTTTTTTTTGCCTCTTTTTTTGTGCGGTGGCCATGAACGGTGGTCGAGTAGATTATGTTGTGCGGGGTCGAAAACCCTCACTCCGCGCAAGGGGGATAATCGCACCACGTTGTGTTAAAGTTGGTCAAGCACCCTCGAGGCAGTTACACAGTGCTTACAACTGTCTCTGGAGTGAAAGCACCAGAAAATAATTTAGNCTCCGCGCAAGGGGGATGATCGCACCACGATGTGTTAAAATGGTCAAGCACCCTCGAGGCAGTTACACAGTGCTTACAACTGTCTCTGGAGTGAAAGCACCAGAAAATAATTTAGCCCATACGCAGCTGCCCTTTCATGCGACTCGCCGAATAACTCGCGGCGCTTCGCTCTTCGTGATGTGAGAGCCTGGTCCGGTGAGAACCCGGCGTGCTCCGTCCCGGCTATGTAGGGATGCGAGGTCAAGGGTCTAACGACGATGGCATGCACCACTATGAGTACCCCCCCCCCCAAACCTCACGAGTTAAGTGATGTTGGATAGTGCCGGACACATAGACGCTTTGAGTGAGGAAAGACACATACTGAATCCTCACAGGTGATTTGCATTGGAGATTGCCGGACACCTAGACGTGTTGAGTGAGAATTGTAGCTGCATGCTGAAACCTCATAGATGGATTGTTTTTTGAGTTTGCCGGACACATAGACGCTTTGAGTGAGGAAAGACACATACTGAATCCTCACAGGTGATTTGCATTGGAGATTGCCGGACACCTAGACGTGTTGAGTGAGAATTGTAGCTGCATGCTGAAACCTCATAGATGGATTGTTTTTTGAGTTTGCCGGACACATAGACGCGCTGAGTGGGGATAGCTACATACTGAACCTCACGAGTTGAGTGATGTTGGATGGTGCCAGACACAGAGACGCTCTGAGTGAGGATAGCTGCATATTGAGACCTAACGGGTTGAGTGACGTTTGCGACCGCCGGACACATAGACGCGCTGAGTGGGGATAGCTACATACTGAACCTCACGAGTTGAGTGATGTTGGATGGTGCCAGACACAGAGACGCTCTGAGTGAGGATAGCTGCATATTGAGACCTAACGGGTTGAGTGACGTTTGCGACCGCCGGACACATAGACGCATTGAGTGACGAAAGCTGCATACTGAAACCCACAGGTTGATTTGTATTGGAGATTGCTGGACACATAGACGCATTGAGTAAGGATAGCTGTATACTGAAAATCCACAAATCCACAGTAGCTGTAGTGAGGGGACAATTCGAGAATGCAGTACACATAGACCCGACCCCCAACCAGCACCCGAACCCCCCCTGAAAAATAGAGGTCATGCGCCCCCCCCCTCTCCACCTCCCCCAGAGGATGCGGAGGGTACAGTCCAAAGTAAGCACAAGCTTACATAAGGTTAATGCCTATTGGTACGGCATGAAAAGAAATACTTAAGTCCCCCATTGGGCGGTGGAAGACTTAGTTCTAAGACACCCCAAAACTCTCCTGCGTGAGATCCAAAATAGATCGGACGGTGGAGGGGGGGGGGTGTTCGTTGCTTGAAGTGGATCGATAAAACATAGAGCCATCAAAGCAAAGCTTATTACTCACGTCGAGCAAGCTGAACGACCGGACCAACCACGCAAAAACTGCGGAGCTAGATGTGCGGCACGCACAATGCATTGTTTTCGATTGGAGAGAGGCGAGTATAAAACAGTAAGGAATTGTTGGCCAGACTTTCGGCAGATAGGTCTACTCGGGAGCATAAGTAGGGTAGCAACCCATGGTGGAGCGTACATGAGAAGCTGGACGTTGGTGTACGCCCCATCCCGGCGTGTGAGTAGGATCTTAGGCTATGCAAGTCGTCCCTGAACTTATTGTGGTGAAAATGACCTCCCAGGAGGAAAGTAGCCTGTACCGCGGGACTTCGGAGATGATAAATTGGGTGGTCGGGGGACGTCTGGGTGTTTACTAAGCAGAGCGCCCGGCACAAGACTGGGGTACTTGTGTCAGGAGGTGTGAACTTGGATCTAGACTACGAGCCTATGTTGGAGGCGCTATTTAGCGTCGGTGAGCCGGCAAAAGAACTGAAAGGAACCACAACCCCCGCCGGACACTCGGATTGGGAAGGCCGAGTATTCCGTATACCTTCCTCAAAAAACACGAAAAACAAGTGGCCACGGTCCAGTTGCCGTAGAGATCATGAGGGTGGTGAAGAAGCCGGGAAGATGGAAGCAGAAACTGTGGAAGGGAGACCAGTTGCAGCTGCTGCTGTTTGGGATTTCCAAGGGACTGAC